CTCAACTTCTTACCCATAGAAACAGACATGGTCATGTCGCAGACAGATGTATATAAGGTCATCAAGAGTAATCAAGTACCCATTAAGCAATTAGCCTACGTCTGGGAAACAATGGAAACTTTTCCATTTCCAAAGGAGGAAGGTGAGAAGGGGAGAGAGAGAGAGAATAAGAATCAGGGACTTTCAAAACGAAAGTGGGCAAGCTTTGGACACAGACCATGCAAAGCTCTGCTGTCAAGGGTCTACTGTGCAGAACAATCACCGATAATAGACTGGGATGCACAGTCTTTCTCTTTTTCTGTTCATATTTATAAAGTTAGTCAGAAAGTTATTTATCTATTTAGAAATATGAAGATTATAAATATAAAGATTGGAATACAAGGAAATATTTGCTGCCTAGACAACATTGGGCTAAAATCTTGTACCTGTTCTATATTTTTTGCTGAACAATGTTTTCTTTGCTTTTTAAGTGTTGTGTGTGTGACAAGGCTTGGCCATGTTCTCTGGCAGCACACACTAAACCCCAGCAAAAGATTCCCAACCTTTCAAGGGAGTCTAGCAGGCAAGCGTTTCCTTTTGAGGTGCACTGCCCACCCCCCAAAATTACCTAGCATTACATTGGATACAAGTGCTTTGTAACTATTAAAATGAACAAAGATAAATGTGTAAAGAATGAATGGCGTGTCTATAGTAGATGAAGAATGGTGCATTTGCATTTACCTTGGAGTCGTGTTCAGTTATTCTCTACATCTGGCTTCTCCATGTAGCAAAGAGGACAGTCAGCTCTTCCTGCTGTCCTTGCACCAGATGTTATATGTGCTATTCGTTTGGATAACTGCAATGGGAAAGCCTAGACTTTCTCACAGTTGGGACCCCAGTCACTAAGAATAGGTGTGACCAGTGCAGGCATTGGGGCTAATTTGCATTTCCAGGGGACATGCCATGCACATTCCTCCACTCCCTTCTCTACACATGGATGCTGTATGCAAAGAATAATTGAATACAGACTAAATCAAAGCAGAGTGTGAATAGTTATCAAGCTTTGAGTTATGAAAGTTTTAAGTCACTGTATGGATATATAAACACTGAATGTGCTCACCTACCTCAAAAAGTGTCCACTAGTTCAGGGATGGCCAATTATATATTATAAAGTTAGCTTCTTCTGAAACTGGCCATAGTTTGTTTTAAACTACAATCTGTTGTTCATATATACCAACAAGGCATGGCTCTTTGAAACTGGCAGTATATGCTAGCAAAGACTTTCTAGGAAGAGGAGGGAAGGGAGAGTGTGTGAGCCCAAGACATAACTTAATTTTACATGCAAAGCAGCCCACTATGATTGAGTCTATGGGATTATATAAATTTCATCTGACTGCACCACAATCCAATTTTGTGGTGCAACAAAAATGTGAAGAAAATGGTTAATACTACAAAATATCTTAGAAGGTTTTCTCCACACCCTGCTTCCAGACACTCCTTTATTATGTCACTTACTGGATTCAGTTGTTTGGTTTTGCTAGAGGTATCTGTGTGTTAATATGTCCATAAATTTATATTCCACAGATAAGATGGCTATTTAATTATTAAAATACAAAACAAACTGAATTGATCATGAAAAAGGAAATAGTGAAATACCGTTATGCGAAGGCTTTTCTGTTGAATGCTGCAAATCTAGCAGAGCTTGTGTGAACCTTAACCCATAACAAGACTCTATATGCTACTCTCAATTCCTAAACTAATTTTCTGTCTCAAAATTTTGAGGTTCTGAACACAAAACTTCAAAGGAAGTCAGACCTGTGTTTATCCCTCTTATATGTCAGAGTTTAAATGTGATGTTTTATGTATACAGTCATCATGACAGTTGAACGAGCTATGAGGAAAAGCAATTATATAGTTGCTTCAAGTATTAAGTAGAAGGGATAAAGGCTTTTAGAAAGCATTGAACTGTTTTAATAATTGTATCACCTGGAATTGAGAGGCAATGTTCTAATTATTTCTAATAAGTAACTAACTATATAAATACATAGGCTATCAAAGATTTTCAGAAATTATTTTTCTCTGATTTTTTTCATACACACACACAAACACCCCATCATTTTCTATTTTAGCAGTTTCCACAATTTAAACATTACATTCTTATTGTTTGCTTTCTGTTATATTAGTAGTGTGTGTTTTGCAATTCTAATCTTCACATTTTTCTTTCTTTATCACTGAAGTAAGCCTTTTGAAGCCGAGGAATTTTTCACAGCAATATTGACAGTGTTCACATTTGCATGATGACAGCCAAGGAATGGAGCAGTAATTTTTGAAATTGCAGAAGTATTTAGAACACTGATAAAAGCTGAAATATATTTTTGATGGATTGAAGTTAAGCATACATGATTTTTCCTGCTGTCAAAAGGCTCTGAATTTAGTGAATATTTGCCTGCTGTGAGAATGCAAGATTAACATCACAACCATCACCCGGGCACCCAAACCCTGCAATTTAATAGCTTTTTAGGTTCTTTCCTTTTTCTAAACAGCAATTAATCTCATTTTAGTACAATTTTCTCGTTTCTGAAGTTGCTCATTGAATCGCTGTTTTGTTCATATTTGGCTTCAGCTCCTCTGCATAGTCATTAAAGTCCCAATTAATGTCACCTTTAGCTGAAGAGTACTCATTTTTATTGAGAAAATGACAGTTGCTGCCATGAGTAGTGCAGTGTAATATACATTAATTGCCCTGTAACACTGGTAATTACGAGTTTTTCAAGCCTCTCAGTAAACTGTCATGCCTAGACAAGACTGTGCTAAAATAGATTACTCATTAGGGAGACCTGTCCTGTTTTCTGTTGGGTTCTTAGTATTAGTTTAAAAAAATCTTGAGCTTGAACAAATAGTTGCCAAAAGCAATTTCCTACAACAACTTGCTTCTGTTGGGTTCTCCACCCATCACTTATGTCTGCGGTCAGCAAACAGACAGGGTGCAGCAGACTCAGGAGAGGTTGAGGTTTGGACAGATTTTATGCAGTGCACAGGAAGAAGCTTAACAGTCCTTAATTCAGTGCCATAGCATTGTGGTGTACACTGTGTTAAAGCAGACCTGTATTGCACTATGAAAGAACTGGTGCTGATGGTGTTTGGTTAGAAAAATCATAACTGCATTCACTGTCACCTATACTGAGCTTATTAACCGTCTAGCCAAATAGTTGTAAATGCAGAAATTAGCAGGTCTGTCGAAGAACAGTACATTTGAGCACTTTTGGGGTGTATCTCCTACATCTTTAGATTATATAGCTGAAGAATGTTGTGCTAAATTTGTGAGTGAAATAATTGGTTCTCAGTATCAGCCTTTAATATATGTTGTTAAGTACGTGTCACACCACCAACAGTGCTATAAAAGTCAGGAGCTTCTAATTTTTGAATGAATGTATTTTTCCTCTCTTCCTTATTTCAGCATTTCTTGGTGTGCATGGGTGTGTGTTTAACATAAAGTAATCGTTTCTAAAACCACTGCAGTGCTGAACTGAAACCTTTGTTTTATCTTTGTTATAACACCTGCTTTAGGCAATCTGCTCGTTTTTTCTCTCCAAATGAATTTTGTCACAGCCTTTCATATTCTCGTGTAGTGATGAGCTAATGAAAGTAGATAGTACAATTTGTGCTGACCAGGTAGCAACTGCCAGCATACAGCTGAGGATAGTTTAAAGAAATAAATAAAATATAGCATTATATCACTGATTTACCCATTACACGACATTAATAGTGAGAGACCTTGGTGTGTTTATCTGTTTGTATTGGTGTGCATTTATCGAATTGTTTATGACAAGACTAATTGGGGTAATTGTAGACACTGAAATTACCTGTCAACTATATGTAACCACACTCCCTTTCTTTCTGACAAATGATGACAACTGAGGGACCCCGTAGCATTACTCATGATGGCTTTTCGAGTGGTAATAAGGACAATAGGGGCCTTGGCTAATTTGACATGGACAGCCTTCACAACAAGAAGCCAGCTAAATGACTTGTCAGTAGGGGAAAGAAGTCGGAAAAGTAATGGAGTCCCCCATGGCGCTCTGACAGGGAGATGAGGCAATTTCAAGGAAAGTGAAAAGGCTTCAGTTTGTCAAGTATTTAGAACAATCAGAGAACAGCTAGAGGCTGGAACCTGACAATAAATTTGTGAACCATGGTAGCAGTTTCATATAGGTCAGTTATTTCATAATGGTTATGCAGCTTTTAGAGGTTTCTGCTTTCCTAGTGTAGTTCACATCCGCCAACTGGTGCTTTGTCACCTTAAATTTGTGCTTTGCTTTTACACAGTAGGAATAATAGTTAAGGTTACAGAATAACAGAAGTGTAAGACAGTGTGGTTTTCAAACCCCAATCTGCTGAAAAATAAACAAAAATCTAGATAGCAGTACTGTGATAGCATCCATTACAAGGCAGTAGTGTTAACACATTTGTTAAAGTAATGATCTGCAATGGTGTAAATATTACTAATTCATATTTTATTTAAAAGCTTTCCTTTTTCTCCTATAGATTTAGTTTAAATTGTAAGGCTCAGTTCCTGAGTCCTGAAATATATTGAAAATTTTATGGTTTTAAGGGTTACAGATATATGACTATAAAAGAAAGGTGAGCTGATTTTTTGTTTGTTTTTCTTTAAAAATGAAGAAATTAATTGATCCAAAGTAATCACATTATTACAGAATGTGACAAATTGAATATATTAGAAATTTATGTGGGATCTTCTCATAGATTTAGTGAACATTCTTCCAAAGTAAACAGTAATTATATATGTTAGAAACATACAAATATCTGTTCTTCATTTATCCAACAGTCTTTGAGTATGGATGCTTATGTAGCCAAAATAGAGCCATCCATTAACAAGAGAGAGAAATAACCTTGGAGAACCCAAGGTTTACAGAAGTACAAAAAAACTTCAGAAGAAGAAGATGAAGAAACATCTTCATGGAGAAACATCCCAATACACTTTGAGGACTGAGCATGCCCACTGGCCATAGGATGGCTGATCTGTGTAGGAGTAGAATGAGAGTATTACTGGCTGGGTCAAATACTAAACAGGTGCACTCCAGACTGCAACATTTTGTTGCTAGTATTATGTAGTATTATTGTTTTTATTGTTGTTGTTAACATACTGTCCAGTAGCTAATGCTCTCTGTGTGATTCGCAGAAACGAAAAGTATAAAAAATCAAGATAAAACATAGCATTAAACCTTTCAAAGCTTAAAGCAAATTAAAACCAAATGGAAAACTTATCTATATAACTTGTTAAAACAGTGTTTTGCCATTCTTTCTGTTTTTCTTCTGCATCAGAGTGGCTTATCAACATATTTTGGAGCTGTGCAAAGTTCTTAAGCCTAGTCACCCACATCTAAGTCCAGATTTTATCTATTCCACAAGAACCTAACTGCAGAGATGTTTAATACAATGCCACTGTCAAAGAAATGGTTATTGTTGATATTTTGCAGCTTTTGATTTAAAAACGTTGATTTCACTAAGTACTTTAATGCACATGTCTTACCTTCTGTTGTACAACAATAGAGTATTCATATTACACTATACTTTTGAATCTAGGATATTATGCACCAATTACATGGTGTAGCGAAACAATCTTATGGAGCACACCATGAATTCATAGAATACAGCATTACAAACCTGTATATATTGCCCTCCTCCTACACAGGGATGGATAGATGGATGATGCATACACACATGGGTACAGATAATATATACGTATATATCTACGTTGTGGCTAATGAGAGCTTCAGCTATTGGGCAATAAATAAATAAATAAAATGCAGTGCAAAACATGTATATTTGCAAATACTGTACATAAATAGGCAAGAGTATTTACATATTTCCTCCTCCATGTGCATAGGTGGAACATCCAATGATATTGCGAACATGTAGAACACCTAATCATTAACAGAGTCAAAGGCTGGATGTTCCCTAGTTGGCATGCAAATTCCCCATGCATATGCTTCACTTAGATACAATGCATATTTTCTACTTAATGTGTGTAATAGTCATATCAGTCTAAATAACTAGTGGCCTATTTCCTCCTGTACTACCACCTCCACAAGGGAAAGTCAGAAGTCATGCAGAGAACATCAGAGACTGCCTTAAACCAAGTCGGTCGGTTAGCTAAGTATTATTTATATTGACTGACAGTGGCTGTCCACTGTCAGAATCTTTCCCAGTCCTATATGTAGCCAATAAGAGCTACAAATTTTATGCCTCAACTCTAGAAAAAGAAGCAAGCATGACAAAGCAATGTTTGAAACCTGTTACTGTTATGTTGCTGATCTCAGCTATCCTTGACAAAGGCTCATGAGTAAACCTCTAAATTTGCCGGCATTAGTGTCTATTCCTTGCCAAAGGGGCATGCACACCCTTCGGCAAGGAGGAATGAGACTCAGCCACCCTTTCTTTATTTTATTTAATTATAATTGAATTTATAATCCACTTAATAATCAGTCCAGCAGGACTCTTGCCAGTGCCATTCTTGCCAGTGGCTCAAATCTCTCAAGCCATGGCAAAGCTGTCTTTTCTTACTTGCTATGGCAGTGCACCTTGCATGAGAGAAAACTTCTGACAGCAATCCCCAAGTGCTGCTTGGACATTTTGGAGGCTGCCATAAGTGGCACTCACTGGGTAGCTACCTGTCACTCTTGCCATGAGTTCTCAGGATGAATTGTTGGGGGGGGGGAGCCCATACTGGGTGACATAGGCTCTGTTGATATGACACAGCAACCACCTATAATAACAAACCCTGGTGAGTTCTCATATTGTCTAAATCCTGTCAGTGACTGAGTTCAGATGTAGAATAACCCACACTGAAGGGTTGTGCATTGGTTGACTGTGACTGTCATTCAGCCATAGCTTATTGTTGAAACAAGGGTTATCATGTTGTCTGAACCCACCTGAAATAAATGATGGTGAACAATCCATATATCCTGCTCCTGTGTGAGCAAGTTCTAACTCCAAGGGATAAACCAGTCCAGAGGTCACTGCATAGAATTTATTATGCCGGGTGTCCAAGTCAAGGAGGGATAGTTAATAGAGTAATCCATGTGAGTAGCCAAAGGTCAAGGAATCTGT